TATTTTTTCTTCCATATTTTTCTATTATTATATCAATTAATATGTCCTTAAAATTAGTTGATCTCTTGAATACAAATAGAAAAAATATTTATACTTGAAAACACTGTAAAAACTCAAATAAATGATATATTATGAATCTAAAAGAGATGGTCAAAAATAGGATTAGGAAAATATAGCTATTTCTACGTTCTAGATAAAGTCCAAGAAAGTAAATGAATTTAATTTAAGTACTATGTAATTGCCTATTTTTAGGATCTCATGTGTTACTCTAATTTACATATTTGCACTTTCTTATAATTAATGCTTAAAAAAAATATGTTTGGGTTAACTAGACGCTTCAATATACCTGTATAGGGTGTTGCCTCTGTAAACTCTTCATCTTAAGAGCTGGTACGGATGTATGTTTTACCTTAAGTGCCTACTTAAAAGTAAATAACACACTTGCGTTAATAAAACATATATGCTTGTGTTATTGTGAGAAACGAAATGACAGAAACGATGTGGATTTATCAACCTCCGAGTAGTGTCACTTGGTTTGACACAGAATAACAATATACGACAAATTGATTGTTTGCTAGTCAGAGGTAGACTCGTCGAAGGAACGATGTGAATGGTTTGGGCGACTACCAGAATCTTGTATTAGATGAGACGTTGCCATCTTCTACCTTACCTTATTCTTTATTAGACTTACCATTGTGTTGAAACGAGAAAGGTTATTGTTTACGAGATTGACTCTATGCTCAAATATTTGACCGGTACTAAGCGGATTTTGTTGTACGTGATCTTATTTACTATTTACAGGAAGAAAACTTAGGAGAGCATATGTGTGTTTTTAAATCTTTCTTGTTGGTAAGTGAGCTTTGAATGCAAGTATTGTTTTATGAAGAGGTCCGGCCAGGGATTGCTGTGTTAAAATGGACTGATGTATAATACGAATTTAAACACTACAGTTAATGTTAAATCTATTTTATAATTATCTGACTTTATATCAAGTCTTTCACTAATTTGACGAGCATGGATTAAATTCTGATAGATTTCTTCCTCTATATTTTTTCAATATAAGAGGTGTGGCTTTAAAATAACGAGACTGTCGCATAAAACATTTTATTTTGGATTTATATATTTTTAGTTGTTATTACCTTCAATATACACCCCTCGTCTGTCTCTCCAACGCGCTATGCAAATTTTCCATTGTTCAAAACGGTGCTGGAAGTCCTTTTTTGTAATCTCCTTCATAACGCGTTGTTGCATTTGGCTAGAAACGTCTCGACAGACAATCCAGAATGATCCAACGTATTTTTTTATTGTAAAACCCATGACTTCTCCTTCCACAATTCTGTTTGAGTGGGTTATGGAGAGCTGTATTCATTTATAGCATTTTTTGGTAGCAAAAAACATGACATGCGAGTTAAAAAAACTATACACTGATGGTTAGTGATTAAAAATCTGCAAGAAAACTAACACAACTTGAACACTGTCGCTTTTAACGTTAATACAATAAAAAAAATCATCAATAGGCATAGGTATCGACTGAAGAATAACCATAATTCAAATAGATGGTTATAGACTTCAAATTTTCAAGTGAATTAAGTGGACGGTTGTCAAAATTACTAATTAAAAAATTGAAAATATTAATAGATATGGTGAAGAACTGTGAAAATTGTCGATACTATTTATTTTATGTATTTATTTTATTTTTTTATTTCGCTTTAGATTTTTTGTAAAGGAGTTATTTCAAACATTTTGTGGCTGGTATGGAGTACATATTTATTGAACAAACTGATATGTTGCTAGTGCTTGGTTTCTGTATAATGGCAGTTGTCGTGAGAGTGTTAGGGTATATTAAAACAGGTTTCCGAGACATCTTCTTACTTGCTCATTGAGCACTATAAAAAATAAAATAAAAAACTTACTATTTACTAATAAACTAACATTCTAGACTTGTGCTTTTTTTGGTTGTCTATTTATTATATTATTATATCTGCGTCATTAACATGAAATGACTTGAATTTCGCTTGTTTTTATCTAGCTTATATTATTATCATTATTATAATTATTTTTAATTAGTTTAATTAAATAGGTTGAGTGAAAGAGAGGACTTACCCTTGCCATGGGTCGAAAATCAGTTATTAATTTAGAAAAGGAGAAAGATTTATGTGAACGAATAATTTGTTTGGCGAAAGTAAGCTATTACTAAACTTCGAAAGTTTTACGGCGATGCGTGTTCAATTTTTGTGAGACCAACCAAATTCAAAACCCGTTCAATAAAATTACAAAATTGGCGATCCAATACTGGCTAAAAGGTTTTTTCAACAGGCATCCAAATATTAGGAATAGGAAAGCTCAAAGCATGAATCCCGCGAGAGCTCAGAAACTAAATAGGTTTATTGTAAGTGACCATTTTGAAAAATTGGGCGAAATTCTTGCTAACATGGACATCATGGACAAGCCTGAGCATATCTACAACATGGATGAGAAAGGCTGTCGGTTAGCATTACACCAACAAACAGTCCTTGCAAAAAAAGGAGCAAAGCGAGAGCACCTTGTGGCAAATGAGCATGGACAAAACGTGACAATAGTAACTTGTGGCAATGCACTAGGTTCTGCGATTCCTCCCTTAATTTTATTTAAAGGAAAAAGGATGAAGCCTGAATGGGCAGATACACTTCCGGCGTCTAATATGGTGTTAATGACTCCGAAAGCTAGTATGACCATTGATGATTTTAAACAATGGCTGCATCATTTTGCCAAATACAAAGTTGCTGGTAAATCTCTTTTCTCTTTCGATGGTGCTAAGTGTCATCTGGATTATTCTATTGTCACGGTCGCAAAAGAGCTGGGTTTAACGTTATATTGCTTACCAAGCAATACAACGCACAAACTACAGCCTATGGATAGGTCTGTGTTTTGTTAATTTGAACACTATTGAGATGACGAAGTTCTTAAATACTGTTCAGCACACAGGGATCGTGCTATAACAAAACAGCGTTTTGGAAACATTTTTTCTGTAGTTTGAGACAAACTTATGACACCGTCAAACATTAAATCTGCTTTCACAGCAACTGGAAGTTATCCGTTCAAGAAGAAAATCCTAACCAACGACTACCTACGCAACATAGAGTCATGACACCTCCTCCAGGTCCTTCCAACAGTCAACCCATCATTTCACGTACACACCACTTCCATATCTCTTGACAGCTGCTGGAAAACGTCAGCGAATTCAGTAACGAGACATAGGTGATTCTGAAGAGAGTGAATCCCTGCCGTCCTAATGCTTAGACGATAATACAGATAGTGACGCCAAAGAAGACGAACAGGACAAAAAATAAAGAAAATCAACATACGTCATTTTCTGATATGCTTACCACACCTGAAATGGCACACAAATATTATGACATCAGGCCAAGAAAACCAGCAATCAATTCCAGAGCACAAGTTGTTACCAAACACCTTTTCGCCAAGTCTGATCTAACAGGCAACACTTCTACTCCCAAGTCTAAGAAACCTGCACCAGGGGAAAAAAGTCCTTCGGCCCGAAGAAAGTGACCAGTAAAGAAAGTTGGTATTGCAAAACATGTCAAATGGACAGAATCGCAGACATGCGTCCTTGCGTGGTTTGCAACAGCTATTTACACAACGACTGCTTGATACTAACCAAGAAGGATACATTTGAGGGTAACATTTGTTCATATTGTTCCTAAAAATTTTTTGCTTGTTTATTACTAATGTTTATGTTTTCTTTTTATTTGAATAAACGTTAATTTAGAAAAACTGACTTACCTTGTAAAATTTTCGATGAAAACAACATTTTGTACAAATAATATTATGTGGCGTTATTGCTAACCCCCCTGAGACAATATCGCCAATGTGCAATGTTTTAAAAAAATGTTCGCAAAATGCACAAACTAGCCCGTAACATCTTTTACTGTTTTAAATTATTAGTACGATGTATCAGTAACATTTCTACCCCGAAAAAGTTTTTTTTAATATACAGTACTTTTATATAAAAACGTTATAAGCTTAGCATGGCAATGTTGTATTCACTTACCTTACATATATTCGCAAGTTGTATAGAGCCATCGCAGAAGATTTTAGCTGACATTTAATCAAGGTCTCTGAGCCTCAATACTGAAATAAGTTTAAATATAATGGTATTTAATAAATTAGTAGAAAACTTATAGTAATTTATAGTATAACAATAAACTATGAACCAATAAACATTAAAAATCGGAAGGTAACTTGAATTTTCTTATATTTGAATTTACTTGTACTTGAATTTACCTACATAAAAAAATCATTATTATAATTATATTACTAAAAAAATATACTTATTAACAATTTTTTTTTAACTATACGCTACTGGCGATCATATTATGGACACTTTGTTTACAACTTTGCCAGCCGATACAAAGAGATCTGTCTTTCTCTCTTCCACTCACTAACAATAATTTTAAAACAATAACAGTCTGCAATTATATGGGATTTATGAATGAAACGTTTTGTATCTTAATTGTAATATCTTTGAGTTTTAATAACTTTTACTTTTTATCACTAGTAATTTTTGTAATAAAAAACTTTTGTATACAATTAAAATTTAGAGAGAGGATCGGTTTTGTTTAGAAATTATCATACTTTGCAAAAAACGCAATTGAACATTTTCAATATATCAAGGTAAGTATTTAAAACTTCTTTTTTAGTATCTGTTTTTAATATATTCAAAAAATGATGGTTTAAGAACCGAAAGTGATTAATAAATTAATAAAAAAAATATATAGAATTGAAAAATTATATCTTATCGTTTATTTTCTTTAAACATTTAACTCTACAGTGATGACCGCTGTATTTGTATGTATAATTTGATACTTAGATTAATTAAGTACTTGTAAAAATAAAAAATAAGTTTGCAATTAAATTAAGTGCTCAATCGATCAATATAATTTATTATACAATTCAAGTTCATTTCTAGTACAGTCATCAAGATGTCCGCTAGTAGATTTGAC